ACCTGACTCAACTACAAAATAGCAAATCAAGTTTTGGCTCAACGCTTAGGCTCTATTCGTTGCCATGAAACCAACACATTACTGAGGAGCAACAACAAATATTCTCATTTTTAAACCAGTTTCCCACAACAAACATCCGTCAAAAGCATCCTCACCTTGCTTAAAAGTGATCAGACAGGAACGATTTGTGCATGTTCCCTCTGGAAAAACCAATACCTGATATGCAAAGGAAAAAAGGAAAAACAACTTAAGGGTAAATGCATTCACTTTAACTATTGCAATAACAATAAAGCAATTGTGGCAGAAAGACACCAGAAGTACACAGCATGAAAAAAAACAAAAAACAAGGTGTGTGCTCTCCATTCAAATCTAACTTATTTAGTATTAGTATTGTTCTTTTACTATCTTTTTTCTGAATTCACAAAATAATTTAAAAGTATAACTGTGCCAATTCATCACTTACAGCTTTGTTGGAATATTCAGTTCTACAAAAAGGTCAAATGACTTGATGTAAAGTCAATTAAATACAGGTTGAACATTCCTTATCCTAAAAACGCTTGGGACCAGAAGTGTTTGGGATTTTGTTTCCAGAATATAGACTATTTGCATGTACATAATGAGATCTCTTGGACATGGGACCCAAGTCCATGGCCGAGGGGGAACTCTGGCATGTTGACACTTTGCCACTTCAGTTGTGTCTTGATAGTATAGAAACCAGCTCTTCCTCTTTTCTTTCTTTCCCATTTCTCCACAATGGGCCACAGCAACGCGTGGCCGGGTACAGCTAGTATATAAATAAAAATGTAATGTTTGTTTGTGGGATTAACGTAACTCAAAAACCACAGGGCGAATTGACACCACATTTGGACACAAGACACCTATCAGGCCAAGGAGTGACCATCACTCATAAAAACATGGAAAAACACAGCGGAAGAGATTTAAAAAGCCAAAAAACAAAAATTACATTACAATGCATGCACAAAACCACATATATACACAAACACACATATATACACACATCATACACACACAAACACACACATCAACAACACCAGAGGATTAGGGTGGGGAAAAAATTAGAAAATGAAAAATTATTGAATTTAGAAGGAATAGATTTAAGAGCTGGATGGCACCAGTATTTATGGTATGAGGGAGCAAAAAAAAGTAAAAAAAGTTTGGGAATCACTTTATACGATCGGCAATATATAAAATTTGGGAAAAATATAAGAAGAAAATTTGTGTAAAAACCCCATTGTGGATATCACCGTTGGAGGCAGTACAAAGAAGGGAGTTAGGATGGAATGATTGGCCGAAATATAAAGAATTGGTGAAAAAAGAAAATGGAAAAATAACTCTAAAATCCCAGCAAGAGATGAAGGAAATCAATGGGAAAATCTCGTGGCTGCAATTCTGGCAGATAAGAGAATGCTTCAAAAAAGATGAAAAGTTAGGCTTCGAAGAACAAACAACATTCTGGGATACTATAAAGCAGACGGGGAAAAAAAATAATAACAAAGATATATAAAAAATTAAGAGAATAGAACAAGGATCCGAAGGAGGAAAAGGAATATATGAAGAGATGGAAAGAAAATATTGGAAGGAATATAAGAATAGAGGAATGGGAGGAAATTTGGATGAAGAAATTAAAATATACGTACGCAACAGACCTAAAGGAAAATTGGCTAAAAATGGCACATAGATGGTATATGACACCGTATAAATTAGGCAAATGCTACAGTAATGTCAACACAAATTGTTGGAAATGTAGAAAGAAGGAAGGTACTCTGTTCCATATGTGGTGGACATGCGAAAAAGCAAAGTCTTACTGGAAGAAAATACACGAGATAATGCAGAAGATGTTAGGCATAAATATCCATTTAAAACCTGAATTATTCCTGCTGGGAATGACAACATCAAAAATGGAAAAAAATACTGACAAACTACTATTTCTGCTAACAACAGCGGCGAGGATGTGCTACGCAAAATTATGGAAGAAGGAAGAAATACCAGATATGGAATGGCTACAAAAAGTGTTCGACATTAGAAATATGGACCGGCTTACATTTCTATTATCCAGAAGTAAGGACAATCCGATACAAGAGACAAAGTGGGGAAAAATTACTGATTATTTAAGAGATAAAATACAAGACAATAATTTAAACAAAGGAAAATAACCCAAGGAAGAAGGAAGGAGAGAAGTTTATTATGGAAAAAAAAATAACGGAGAGTAGAAGACAGAGAAAAGGAGAACATCTCCACCAAGATACTCAGGAAGTCACGAAGATCTTCAACTTTGTTTTTTTTTATTTCCTTTTTTTTCTTTTATTGCTTTCTCTGCTATTCTTCTCACACACTTTTTTCTTTCTATCTGCTTTTAATTTTGTCACAGAAAATTCAATAAAAATATTATTAAAAAATACATTACAACCCATGCGCAAAACCAGATATATATAAACATATATATGCATATACACACACACAAATCACATATACACACACAAAAAGGAGGAAGGAAGAAGAGAAGGAGGGAGAGAAAGAGGGAAGGAAGGAGGAAAGGAGAGAAGGAGGGAAAGAAAGGTAGAGAAGGAAGGAAGGAGAGAAGGAAATAAAAAAGTGAAAGAAGGAAGGAAAGAGAGAGGGAAGGAAGGAGAGAAGGAAAGAAAGAGGGAGAGAAGGAAGGAAGGAAAGAGACAAGGAAGGATGGAACCAAAGAGCAAAGGAAGCGAGAAAAGAAACAGGTAGAGAAGGAAGAAAGAAGAAGGGAAAGGAAAAGAGGGAGGGAAGGAAGGAGAGAAAGAAAGAAAGAAGGAGAGAAAGAGGGAGGGAAGGTTGGACACAGCAATGCATGGTGGGTACAGCTAGTAAAATACAAAATGCAGGCAACCAAAATTTCATCAGAAGAACATACATAAAGTCGCAAAGTAAAATAAACAAAGGAGATTGACATATATAAAATCAAACACAATGGGAAGGCTAAATGGATGAGATAAAATGATAAAACCCTGGTAGGAATAAAAAAAAAGTGTAATTGAGAGGACTCCAAAAAGGATGAACAGTGGGGTTAGGCTTTCAGTTTAGGATGAGGGAAAGTACTCTGTAGCCGGCACAATGGTACAAAAATTGAGTGATAAGGAGAAACAAAAAGCCCAAATTGGCAATTGAGTGTGTCTGAAGCTCCAATATGATTACCACAGGCTCATGGAGACATATCAGAGCATCTGTTTTTCAAGCTGCTGTGAAGGATAGTTGATGTTTTCTTTTGTCAGTCTCTAGAACCCACGAAAAATAATCGCCAACAACTTTAACAGCTTAGCAAAAGTCCTGGGTGCGTGACACAACAATATCACTAGAGGGCACTCTAAATCTATGTTATTTGAAGATGAGGTCACCAGATGCAACATTTTGAACTGCAGATCCCAGCAAATTTCTGACACTAAGCAACCCACAACACGTTCTTTGTTCCCAGAGTCAGATTATCAACCATTCAGATCGTGCACTTTCTCCAGTTCCCTCAATGACTAGAGATAATGAAAGGGGAAATTGTGAACTTTGCTTCCACTTCTTCCCCCAGTGAAATTGGGTACTTCCCCACATTTCTGTTGCCACCATAAAAATAAATAAACATGCATGAGGTCAAATCTAGCTGAAATTGTATTGTGGAAGGCTTTCATTGGTTGTAGGTTTTTCAGGCTGTATGGCCATGTTCTAGAAGCATTCTCTCCTGATGTTTTGCTTGCATCTGTGGCAGGCATCCTCAGAGGTTGTGAGAGCTCACAACCTCACAACAGACCGGGTTGTGGCGCAGCTGCTTGGGAGTCAGCTACATTAAAATCACTACTGACCAAAAGGTCATGAGTTCAGGGCCAGCCTGGGTCGGAGTAAGCTCCCAACCATTTGTCTAGTTCGCTGTCAACCTTTGCAGCTCAAAAGACAGTTGCATCTGTCAAGTAGGAATTTTAGACAGCAGGCTGTAGCCAGGATGAGTTTCGGGGGGGGGGCTGAGTCTGAGTGAAAGAGGGTCGAGCCTAGCAAACCTTTTGTATCATTACTCCATTACTCCTTTCCCATGCATATGGGATATATTGAGTATGGTGATCAGATCATGATATGAATAAACATAACAGTTTAAATAATGCACCAGTAAGGCCTTTTCGCGAACCACCATGAGAATTTCGGGGGGGGGGGGGGAAGCCCCTCAAGCCCCCCCCCCCCCCCCCCCCCGGAATACATGCCTGGGTACCGCTTATGCGGGAAGGCTAATTTAACTAATTTACGATGTCATAAAAATCTCCAGCAGCATGCAAAAGAATGAGGAAGTACTTAATTGGTGTCACAAGTGGACAGTGAAGTGACAGCTCCCCCAGTGGCTAGAATTCAAAAAGCATACCCCCATGAAGCTGGAAAGTTAAATAGCCTCTGTGTCTCTGTCTATATATGTTGTGTGTCTATGGCATTGAATGTTTGCCATGTATATGTGCATTGTGAGTCCCCTGCGGGTGAGAAGAGCGGAAAATAAATACGGTAAATAAATGAATAAATGAATAAATAAATAAATACAACAATCTAGCTGAAATTGAAGTTGCAGGACCCATGGGAACTCATAGGAGACTGGCATGCCTCTCCCTTCTGTAGTTTGCATTCATTATTTATTCACTCAGGTCTTCTATTTCTACGTTGCCATTTTCAGAACAGGTTCGTGCAAGGGACCCTTATTTTTGGAACTTTCTCCACACCCCAAACCAAACTGATCTTGAATTGTTGGGTTGACTCTACTTGTTGCAACATTGGTATATTGGGTGGAGGAATCGCCCAAAAAGTATCCAAAGTGCACTGAACAATGAGTTATGCATTATATACACTGTACCTGGGGCCACTGGCCTCCGGAAGTCGCTCGTCTCGTTATTTCATTTATCGTATTCTTCCGCGAATCAGGGTCAACTCGAGATACTACTACAGGTTGGAGTGAGTTGAGGATTCCTGTTTAAGGAGACATTCATAAGTTTAAAGACACAGGGATAAAATGTTTTCGCCAATATTGGATGATATTAAGGATATGAAGGGGCAAGTACAAAATACTCTACTTAGGCAGAAAAAATGAAATGCAAAGATACAGAATGGGGAACAATGCCTGGATCGACAGCAGGACGTGTGAAAAAGATCTGGGAGTCCTTGTGGACAACAAGTTAAACATGAGCAAATGTCATGCAGCAGCTAAAAAATCCAATGGGATGTTGTCCTGCATAAATAGGAGTATATTGTCTAGATCCAGGGAAGTCATACTACCCCTCTAGTTTGCCTTAGAGCCCACCTGGAATCATGTGTCCAATTCTGGGCATCACAATTTGAAGGGAGATGTTGACAAGCTGGAATGTGTCCAGAGGAGGGCAACTAAAATGGATAAGGGTCTGGAGAACAAGCCCTATGAGGAGTGGCTTAAAGAGGGCATTTTTGCAGAAGAGAAGGCTGAAAGGAGACATGATGAGGGCCATGGATAAATATGTGAAGGGAAGCCATAGGGAGGAGGGAGCAAGCTTGTTTTCTGCTTCCCTGGAGACTAGGACGCGATGGAACAATGGCTTCAAACTACAAGAAAGGAGATTCCATCTGAACTTGAGGAAGAACTTCCTGACTGTGAGAGCTGTTCAGCAGTGGAACTCTCTGCCTCGGAGTGTGGTGGAGGCTCCTTCTTTGGAGGCTTTTAAACAGAGGCTGGATGGCCATCTGTTGGGGGTGCTTTGAATGTAATTTTCCTGCTTCTTGGCAGGGGGTTGGACTGCATGGTCCCACCTCTTCCGTTCTGCAAGGAAAGGAAGGAGAAAGAGAGAGAGGAAAGGAGGGAAGAAGGAATGAGGAGGGAAAAGAGGGAGGAGGAAGGGAGGGAAGGAGGAAGAAAGAGAAAAGGGAAAGAAGGAAGGAGACAGAGTAGGAGGGAGAAGGAAGGGGAAAGGAAGGAAGGATGAAAGGGTGGAAGGGAAGGAAGAAGGGAGAGAGGGAGAAAGAGAGAGGTAAGGAAGTGAGGGAGGGAGGGAAGGAGGAAGGAAAGAGAGAAGGAAGGAAAGACAAAAGGGAAAGAAGGAAGGAGACAGAGTAGGAGGGAGAAGGAAGGGGAAAGGAAGGAAGGATGAAAGGGTGGAAGGGAAGGAAGAAGGGAGAGAGGGAGAAAGAGAGAGGTAAGGAAGTGAGGGAGGGAGGGAAGGAGGAAGGAAAGAGAGAAGGAAGGAAAGACAAAAGGGAAAGAAGGAAGGAGACAGAGTAGGAGGGAGAAGGAAGGGGAAAGGAAGGAAGGATGAAAGGGTGGAAGGGAAGGAAGAAGGGAGAGAGGGAGAAAGAGAGAGGTAAGGAAGTGAGGGAGGGAGGGAAGGAGGAAGGAAAAGAGAGAAGGAAAGACAAAAGGGAAAGAAGGAAGGAGAAGAAGGAGGGAGAAGGAAGGGGAAAGGAAGGAGAAAGGGGGAAGGAAGGAAAGGAGAGAGGGAGAAGAGAGAAGGAAGGAGGGAGGGAGGAAGGAGAAGGAAGAGAAAGGAAGGAAAGAAAAAGGAAGGGAAGGAGGAAGGGAAGGAGGAAGGAAGGGGAAAGGAAGGAAAGGAGAAAGGGGGAAGGAAGGAAGAAGGAGAGGAGAGGGAAGAAAGAGAGAGAAGAAGGAAGGGGGGAGGAAGGAAAGAAAGAGAGAAGGAAGGAAGGAAGGGATGGTGAGAGAGAGGCAGGCCTGAGAAAAGAGCCCAAGGGACCGCATCCGGCCCTCCGGTCTGGGTTTCTGGGTTTCTTGGCTCGTCTGTCAAATTTTAAAACACAATGCATCAATTTTTTTTGATGTATTGTGTTTTAAAATTTGGCAGATGAGCCAAGCTAGTGGCAGATGAATGGGGTGTTTGTGTGAAGCAATTGAAAAAAAAAAGAAGAGGGAAAGCTTGGAGGGGGAGGAGGAGGGAACGGTGGAACCTCTCAATATGCTTTGTGGAGCTCCAAGGGCTGCGCGGAGCACACTCTGAAAACCACTGCTGTAGAATGAATGCAGACTGATATCACTTTAACTGCCAGTGGTCAATGCTAAGGAATCATGCAAGATGTGGTTTTGCAAGGCATCTGGCCTTTTCCGCTGGTGCCTCTCCAAACTACAACTCCCATGAGTCCATGGCATTGAGCCATGGCGGTGAAAGTAGACTCAAACTGCATTCATCCTACAGTGCAGACGCATCCCTTGAGTCTCGTCAGCTGTCCTCCATTGAGATATTCAAAGGTACTCACTACCAAGAAAGGGTGCCATAAGGTTTTCTTGCCTCGACACCGTTGACGGCAAACCGGCCACAACACAGACGATGCCATCAAAGAAACTCGAATGAGGGGCGACTGCGAGGATTGGTGCCTCTTTGGGACTGGCGACTTTGCCCTTCACTTTGACCCAGAAGCCCATCACGATGAAAAGGACATGGCCAAGAAAGGTGAGGGCGGAATAGGAGAGTTTCCTTGGCACAGAAAAGAAAGAAACCAAACAAATACAATTACGCTCACTCCCAACAAGACCAGAAGGCATCTCACATCTCCGCATATTTCAGTGTAATGCTGTTACTGCTGGTAAGATATGAGGGGCATTCATTAAAGATTTCCCCTGACCCACTTCTCTTTATCACAGGATGCTGAAACTGCACATGGGTAATGATATAAGCCTCTATAGGTTACGTGCCAATTTACAACTCGGAACTGATAACATTTTTGATTTTACAGGTGCTGAAGTGGTGTGAGGTTTGATAATGGACCCAGTGAAAACAGAGCAGTCCTCAAGTTCCTTTACTCGAAAGGCTGCACACCAAAGGAGAGGTTCGATGAGATGAAAGAAGTTTATGGTGATGATTCCCCACTGTATGATGTAGTCAAGAATTGGAATCGTCAATTCAAATGTGGTCGCATTTTGGTGCAAACAGCTCTAATTCCAAGGCAACCCCACTCTGCTATTGATGGACATGCCATCCAGCAAATGGAGGTCGCCATTTTGGAAAATCACCACACAACCATTCACCACCTAGCCCAGAATGTCAAGATTAGTTTGGGGTGTGTGGAAAAAAATTGTCCTATCTTCACATCCACAAGATATCTGCTTGCTGGGTCCCCCAGCTGCTCACACCTTTCCAGAAGCAGGAATGAGTGAATGCTCTCAGGCTCTATTGGCGATGTGCCATGGAAACCAGGAGGACTTTTTCAATCATCATCATCATCATCATCATCATCATCTTTATTTATACCCCACCACCATCTCCCCGAAGGGGACTCGGGGCGGCTAACATGAGGCCAAGCCCAAAATTACAACAAAGTACCGGTAGTGCAGTGGGTTAAACCGCTGAGCTGCCGAGCTTGTTGACCAAAAGGTCACAGGTTCGAATCCAGGGAGCAGCGTGAGCTTCCGCTGTCAGCCCCAGCTTCTGCCAACCTAGCAGTCTGAAAACATGCAAATATGATTAGATCAATAGATATCGCTCCAGCGGGAAGTTAACAGCGCTCCATGCAGGCATGCTGGCCACATGACTTTGGAGGTGTCTACGGACAACAGGCTTAGAAATGGAGATGAGCACCAACCCCCAGAGTCGGACACGACTGGAC